AATAAATAAAAACAGATGGAAAAATCAGGCTCTGTTAACACTCCTTAAGTGCTCTCACCCGGGCTGCAGAAGTTTGGCCCCAAGGGACAGTGACAGCTGTGGCTCACTTACGTGACAGTTGTCATGGAAATTAGGCCTTGGGATTGTACTGTGGCCATAATTTATAGATTCCTCCTTCTCCATAAACACCCTGATATTTTAGAAGGAAAATACCCAATTGGTGTGAAGGGGCTGGCTCCTGGCTGCCTTGACAATGTCAAGTCTCTTTAATACGGCCCATGAAGGCTTCCGCTGGTCAAGCCCAGGCTACCAGTCCTGGTCTTCTCTCTTGTCTCACAGTAGCCACAGGGGTGGCAATGGGAACTGAAATCTCCAATCATCTGACCTGTGCAGAACACAGTCCCACTCTATTTCTTCTACAATACAGGCCTCTTCCTTCCCTTGAATCAGACTTAACCCTTTTATTAATGAAGCATCCAGACAAAATATTTAAGTCAAATTCATATATCTGAGCAATCACTCAAAAGCATCCTAAAGTCATCTCTTTTTCTGAATCCTTAGTATAATTAATCACTAAAAATTGCCAATTCCTATCTTCTAAATATTTCTCCTGTCTTCCCTACTCTATTCCTACTTTCAGCTTAATTCAAGCAATCAATATTGCTCATTTGGATTAACATTTATGCTTTCTATTCTCTTGTTCTAACAGAATTTGCAGTGGTCTTCAGAAACACAGTAGGACAGAACAATTTTTTTAAGTACACAAAAAATATTAAAAGAAAACTTTCAGAAGATCAAATAAGCCAGAAGTTAATCCACTGAAAAACACCATGGAGTCTTTAACAGTTACTAAAAATGGACTTTCATCGATTTTCCAAGTAATAAGAAAGCCACCCAGTCTCAGTCACAAAATCCATGGTTTCCAGAACATACAAATTGACAAAATGAATTTTTCATCGGGATTTATCAGACTCGAGGAGCCTAACTCACATTAACCAAACTAAAAAGGCTCTGAAACATGAATTTGAATGCCAACGTATTAATATACAACGATACACATTTTACTATCACAACGTCCGCAAAGTTCTTTACCAATGCAACAGCATATTTTCTTCCTATAAAAGATTTCTAGGGGAAGCCAATTTATAATAACAGGTTTGGATGAGCACGGAACCTTATCAAGAAACATCTTAAGCAGTGTCCTCAAGAACTCAAGAAGCCTCTTGAGCTATGGAGAGGGCTGTGCCTGACTTTGTTCAAATCTATTGTCAGGGAAATTCCCATCTAGTCCACAGCCACCAGGAGTCTGAATAAGCATGGCCAAAGTGTGCCTCTCTGACTTGCTTTCATTGTAGTTGTCATTTGAGTCTATTTAGCTATTCCAGGTTAACC